TGATATATAGGTTTACACACCCATTACTATTTCCGTAAATGAATTAATTGTCTAACGTCATTTATCCCTTTTGAATGTTTTATATCTTATGACATTGGATATATTTATCCAGCTTTTTAACTGGTATGAGATATTTCTTCTCTATGGGAGATGACGTTGTCTACCTTGAGAACTGTAACTAATAATACATTTTAATGGAAATATACTGCGACCTTTTTAATTTCCTCGCTAAAGATGGTTAAAAATTACCGAAACGTACGTCTTGTTATTGACATAATAAATCAAATAATGGTCAAAATTGGTTTGCTTCGCGTAGTAAATTTTTAATAACAATTAAAAAAAAGACAACTTTAAGTAACTATTTAAAATTGTACGCACTCTCGCAAATGTGAAAATAATAAAAAGAAACGAGCTAATAAAAGTAAAGTGCTGTAAGCGTTGAGCAATTTTTGTATGTATAAATCTTCGCTTTATTAGGACGTTTCGATTTATGTTCGAGTCATTTTCAGTAATAATTAAAGCTGAGCACATTTCAAATAGTTGTATTTGAAATACAAAATGTATTTCGTATTTTGTATTTCAAGAAAGTCATACGGTATATTTTGTATTTCAAATACAATTTCAATATATTTTGTATTTGAAAAGATGCTTGATAATAATCCTTAAAGCAACGCGAACAGATCTACTAACTATATTCGGAAACGTTAGGATTACGACAAAGAACGAGATGTGAATTGCGTAAGATAGATAACGTAGGGTAAGGCAGAGAAAAACATTAATGTCGCAGTGATGACTAGTCAGAAAAGTGCCAGATACGCAAAAAAAATTTGGAAGTATATTGTATTAATTTAAAATAAAAAAATTTGAAAATATTTTGTATTTTGTATTAAAAAAACATTTTGTATTTAAAATACTCAAAAAAAGTATTTTGTATTTAAAACAAAAAATTGTGAAATATTTTGTATTTTGTATTTTAAAAAAGTTTTATATTTAAAATAAAAATTTTGAAAGTATTTTGTAATTCAAATGTTCAGATTGCCAGTATTTTGTATTTCGTATTTCAAATACTTTGATGATATATTTTGCCCAGCCCTGGCATAATAAACAAAATTACATAAATTAAATTGAATCCTTGGTGAAAGAATCCTACCAGTCGTCTCGAAAATTTTTAATAATCTTCAAGACAAATAGATCTCTTTTTTAAATATTAACGCATCGTTTATAGCGCCTATTCTCTACTCAGAATATAAATTACTCTTATAGTACCCCTTTGATATAGCGAAGTTTTTAAGCATAATGACATGTTGTTACATCATCTGGTACTGCATTAATTATTTTTGTATATCAATTAATTGCTTTTATCAGTAAGCTAATTTATTAAGTAATTATGAAACAAGGAAACAATGATAAATTTTAAGATGAATTATTACTCAAGCAGAATAAGTCATGATAATGTCAAAATGACATTAAAATAAATTGAAAATGATTGAAAAATGACTTTTAATGATCATTTTGGAGTTACTTTGATATTTTGATATCATAATGACTTATTGTTCTGCTTGGGTAAAGTGGGAGGAGGAAAAAGTGGGGAAAATTTTCCTCAACAAGCTGTACTTAAAGTTTTACATTTTTAAGGAAAAAGACAGCAGTAATAAAGAGATAGCAGACCATTCTACATCTCTTGATTCAGTGTTATAATATCTTCAGAAATTAGATGACTGTTTTGAATGCTTTCGTAAAATCAAAAGTTAAACGCAGTAAGGATTCAGAATCTTCATTGTACAAAATCAGACTCATATTCTTTCCTAGTGAGTATTAAAATTGATATTGATATTCGAGAATAGAAATGTGTGCATCAAGATTTTTTACTTCAAATTGAATCAAATCGTTGCCCTGTTATATCCAATTTTGTTAAATCGTTGAATCATAATTTTGAATTAAGCACAATTTTTGTCAGTTGAATTTTAATCTATAGATAGTAAAAAGATTTTTATACGAGAAAAATAATATTAATTTTCTCTGCTAAACGCAGCATTGTTCAGCTATAAAGAATAGGTTTAACATGGCTGCGCATTGTACTTATTAATTTTGTTTTATATATATATATATATACATACTTATATATACATACTTACATATATATTAAGGTGGTTGTTATATTAATAATTTCTTAAATTTAATCGGGATAGTCCTTAAAGTGGCTTAATATCCAAAAAAAGTAACATCAGATTTTTCAAATTTTTTGAACAATTTTAACCCGTGCCATTGGGACATGGATAGGCAGAAAAATACTTTTGTGGACAAATCCCTGCATATGCAGGACTGAGCATATATTTGAAATATTTTTATTTAAATTACAGTTTTTGTAATACAAGTATATTTTATATTTTGTATTCCATTAAAGCACATGAAAATATTATGTATTTTGTATTTGAAATCGATGTAAGTTTTTTGTATTTTGTAATTCAAATAATAACATTAATTGTCAAACAGCATTTGATAATTATATAGTATTTGATAGATTTGTATACAAAATACAAAATATTTTTATATGCATGAAACACAAAATGTAAAATACATACCTTATACATATGTATATATATCATATATATAAATATATACCTAATTCTTATTAAAATCTCTTAGATTCCAAATTTTCGAATAGTTTGTATTCAAATCATAGCGATTCAAATTTGAATAGTTCGTACATCTCTTTTTGGAAATAACATTAATATTATTTACTGATTTCAAATATGTTCGGGAGGAAACAGGTTTGTCCCCTCCATTTCAATAAACCATCAAATTACAATAGTTAATTGCAAACGAGGCTGTCTTTTTCTATTATATTATCGTACTATCAATCACGTGATCGATACATTGCAGTTAGAAAAAGAAAGGCTTATCTGCAAGCAACTATTGCACCTCATATAACTAAGAGCGGGCAACCAGTAGCATTCATTTTTCAGTGCATACTTGAATTCAACGTTATTGAAAAAAGTGTTAAACTATTTGAAATATATATATTCAAGAAGTCTGGAAGAAAAATACGTGAAAAGAAAGAAGTAAAGAGAAATAAAAAAAAAAGGATTTAAAAAATTAAAAGAACAATGTTATTTCCAATAAAAGCGCATTTTTTATTGCAACTAGTATCTCAGTAAGTATTAACCCAATATATCTTTTTCATTCAGTGTTCCGATGCTTTGATTTCTATAAAAAAATATAATTGTACATTGTAAAAATATGAGATTGTACATTTAAAAAATTCATAATAACTTTCAATATGTAAAAAATGTAAATAAAAATTTGTAATGCACCTTAAGAGGAACAAAAAAACATGAAAGTTTATATATCAGAATAAAATGTGGAAAAGTTGTGTTTCACATCAATAATATTATCTACAAATCAATAATATTTCTACAAATCATCAGTAATATTTCTACATCTTTCTAATGAGTATTTTCTTTTTTGACAAGAGTCTTGCAACAAAGAAAAAATAGAAGAAAGTTATTAGTCGTCAAGAGAGATATATATTTTTATTTATAATAAATGCAAACATTAATATTAATTAATTTCAGAAAATTAATATTAATAAAATTTTATTTTATAAATTGATATTAAATTGAATGGGCATTTATACTTTTAATAAAATAAAGACTGTCTTTTTCAAATAATTACTAATATATTCAATCCTTTGTTAGATATTCTAATGTTATATTTATATTAATTCAGCTGAATCTACTATTCTAAAGTTATTCTTCAGAATAGTAGATTATCTGATAATAAGCAAGCGTTTATCTAATAATAAGCAATATAAACAAAATTCTTCATTCTTTCTTGAAGAAATAATGACGTATTCTGTATGAAAAATTCAGTTCTTAGGAATTTAAAAGATAAAACAAACTTACTTATCAGGTAATATAGACTTTTGTTAATATTGTCATTGATGATTGCTTTCATTTCTGTCCTAACATTCAATACACAATATTATATAGTCCATTATACTGCAATGTGTAACACGTATATATATATATATATATATAGTCATGTATTATACTATTACACGTTAAATAGTGCCAAAAGCCACTTCTATCTAAACCACGCGAATAAAAACAGCACGATTAAAATCTGTTACGATTTACTATATTATGACCGTGCAGGATAGCAAATAAATTTTGTATGTGTTTCTTTTTAAGATTCAGTCATCACGATACGTGCAATTTGCACGTATTAATGATTAATATTATTCTTATTTCATAATGATCTTCTTTTTCTCAAATATTATGTATTATTCGATAAATATTTTGCCCATTAATTAAAATATTTTAAAACATCTTTTATTTTTACGTGATTTATTTCAATATTAATCTTCGTTATTGCTTAAGGAGTTATTTTTACCAGCCAGAAAAATGAAGACTGCTTAAACTTGGATCGTGAGAAAAATCACTTCAAATCACTTCTGATTCGGCATTTTATTAGTATATACCTTTGACTTGTTATGTTGCACACTGTATTAAAATATATTAATCTTTCGAGAAAATATAGCAATTCGCGTGAAACGTATTTTGTGTATAATTTCGCCATTTATCTTGATAAATTGAAAAAAATGAATTAGTTTCATAAATTATAATATATGCCCTCTATTAGTTAATCAAACTTTTTTCCGAATTTTTTAAAAATTGATAAATATGTTTGAATTTTTGCCACACTTTTTGGCACTATAAATGTTATTATATATTGGAAACTATTATACAAATTTTACTAACAAAATCATGAATCCATTGAAAACTACTATTTCTCTAAATTGTACGTTTCAAATTGCAAGTCAATTTGTCAATTGCAGCCCGACAAATCGTCTCTGAAAATATGGTTTCAATAAATATGCATGAAGTTATCAAACTGTAAACATGTTTATGGATCGGTTACTTCATATCATTAGTTTTTTGCATTTTATCGTTAATCATCCTATCTAGTATGCCTGTGTCAAGATAGTATGCCTGTGTAAAAAGCATCTTCCTTTTTTATATGTAACTCTCAAGGTAAAAACTTGGAATAAAGTAGAAAAATGTTTCAAATATCGGCTTTCAGAATTTTTTGCACATTAATTATAAAACTTCATTTTTTTTAGCAAAAAAAGTTTTTGAAAATTATAAAATAGAGTAATCCCTTAACGCACATAACAATACATGACTACATATTACACATTACAGTATAACAGATTATATAATACTACACGAAAAAAATGATGTTCTATTAACAGCATTAGTCAACATCAATCTAATTGAAAATAACGTTCTCAATTCAATAACAATGTTAATTAAATAAAAAACATTTTATCAAAATAAGAGCATAGCGTATTTGTTTCATTAATACTATCATTAACAAAATTATTAAATTAACAAAATTATTTTATTAGATAGTTATCGAATATTGTTTATAAAATTATTTTTTCTGTGTTTGTTGAATGCTATAAGGTAGAAATAAAAGCAGTTATTAATGACAATATCAGCACAAATCCATGTTCTAATATGTATTTATGTTAATATTATCACTGACTCAAATACTATCAACTTTACAGAAAAAAACAGCAATAGCCACAAATTGTTTATTTTCTTCTCATAAAATTTTGAGAATTTTTTTAATATTGTATTTTCTCATGTTGGTAAAAATAATTGCTAATAAGAAAATGTAGAACTAAAAAGTTGATAAAAAATTATGAAAAAATTCTTAAAGCTCTATGAGAATAAAATAAACAATTTTTGCCTCTTGCTATTTTTCTGTAAAGTTGATAGTATTTGAGTAAAAAATTATTGGAGACCAATATTTAACAATTTTTAGTAATTAATATCTTGTTAACTATTGCAAAAATTGCAAAATGGCAGAGAACTTTTCGACTCAGTTTAGTCGATTCTGCCGCTATGCGACAGTTTTATCATTAATTATCAGACATCCTATTAAAATTAAATGTTTTATACTTTATAGTAAATATCGCTATTTAAAAAATTCGTTTTTGTAATTAAAAGTACAGAAGAATAACTAAAATTAATAAATTCCATGCGCAAATAATAATACCTAGAAGGCTAAATAATTAAATACTTTTTTTTATTATTACTTTAAGTATTCTCTTTGTGATAAATTATCTTCAAAATTTTGTAAGAACTCATATATTTTGCACATAGTTTTGTAATTTTTATATATATAGAAAGCTACAAATTGAAAAAAATAAAAAATTTTTTTTCACTTTGTAGATCTGTAGTGTGCCTAAAAAAAATTTGACTATCTACCGTAAAAATTTGAATCAAATTTCTCTACAAAATCATTTTTTTTTAATGTTCCTACGATTTTTTATTTCTGAGTTACTCGCGGATTAAATAAAACATTCTGATTTTATTGCTCATAACTCTGTTAAAAATCATTGTATCGCAATTAAAATACAGATTCTTAAAGCTGAAACATTGCTCTATCAAGTGATGTAATTTAAAAAAAAATAGAATATATTGCTAAAAGTCTTTTTACTAACTTTTTACTAAAGGAACTTTTTTCCTAACCCATTATATAAAAGTAAATAGACTATTATGAAGGACAAGATCATTGCAAAATTATCGCACTGTAAGCAGCGGGTGATGTAAGGTAAACCTCGCTTCGTATTGCAAAGTACATGCATGTGCGGGAGAAAGGTTTCATTTCTACCACAAAAAATATAACCTAAATTAAATCTAATTTCAATTTTGAAATACAAATGTTTTGAACTGTATATCTGCATCCCCAAAAAATATAATTTAACTTAAACAATTTTGTTTGAAAATTTTGTTTGAGTTAAATTATGTTTTTCGGGGATGCAGATATAGAAGCAGGAATGCCATATTTTGTAATGCAAAGGGAGGTCCATTCCATATCATCCTCTGATTATAGTGCAAAATAAGAATAATTTTTGAAGTACATGCGCTGCATCGTCATCCCTAAAAAAATATAAATAATACCAAAAATGTAATTTAACCTATACACTTATTTCTAACTTGAAATTAAAATTAATTGCAATTTTTTTTAAGAGGAAGTAAAGGAGAAAAGGCGATATTCTCTCACATTCACATGTGTATGCACAAATCAAGGTTAAAATGATTAAAGTTAATAAGCAAATTATATTTATCTACGTTACACTTAAAATATGTTTTAAGTTTAAAGTATAGGTTAAAGTCAATAAAATATTTATTTATATTACACTTAAAATATTTTTTATAACAGAGGAGAAAGTAGTATTATGACAGTGTATATATTGTGGTCTCCCTTAATATCTCCGCTATTATACTTTCTCATTTTTCTTAAATTTGAATGTATTATTACATGAATATATGTATTTTTTAGTGTGTTATTTATTATTTAATATTTTATTTGACTGTATATATTGTGAGTTATGCAAATTTAAACAATGGCATGATGTTTTGCTAATTTGGCTCTTTATGGGTATTGATATTACTCACAATCTTGTTTTTGAGGTTTAATTCATATCAAAATAATTATTTGATAATCGATTGTAGCTCTACTATTAATCTATTATTAGTTTATATTACGTGTACTACTTTAATATGAGATTTTTAGTACTGAGCAGCTTATATGCAGAAGTTATATGTAAATATAACATTCATTTGCATACATTTTAAAATGTTTTATTTTTTTGTTAATTATGTAAACTAAATACTGTTTTTTAAACAAAATTAATATTTGAAGGCTATTTTCATGGAAGGCCACATTCATCGCTCATTTTTTCTTCGAATCATTATGCAATGTCGCCACCTTTTTTTAATAGTATCCTAAGTAATAAATATTTCGTAACTTTGAGTTCAGAATCGATTTAATAACATTTTAATGAATGTAATTGTCAAGTGTTAAATTTAAATATTAATTATTAACAAAGTTATTGTGTAAAATGTAACTGGGGTGCCATAATACCACCTTCTCTAATATAAAAAATGTTTATAATAATATAGAAAGTAGAAACTAAAAAAGAAGAATCTTCAACCTCATTCAAAAAGTGTGTGATTCAGGATTCTGTGAACTATAATTATATGTAAAAAATTCAAGTAATCGATAAGAAATTTTTATAATATTTTTATCGGCAATACTTTACAGCACGTTACAAATTTCATAAAATAAAATATAAATTCTAATAAAAGAATAATAATTTCAGTAATAGATTTATATTTTTGTACGAATTTTTTCGAATAAGTAACGAATTACCTTTCAAAACAATGAAAACAAAGCAAATCTAATTATCATATATCACATAAAAAAATTTTTATTTCTACTCGTATATATTTATTATATAAGAAGTATAACATATTAATGTAATGATATAACATGTGCTTGTTCCCCTCATATATTTTATAAAACTTTATAATATTCTTGAAGAAAAGCTGTTTTAGATTCGATTCAAAATTCATTATTTTACAAATAATGAATTTTATTTTATAAATAATTCCATTTAAATTAAATAAATTTTATTATTAAGCTAAGTTATTTCATTGTGTTAACATATGACAATAATATAATGTTGTGTGTGTTTTTTGATTGGCGTTTTAATTTTATATGATAAAAACATTAATTCTAGAAATCGTTAATAATATCTTTTTTTTTCTGACTAAAAATAAAAAAATATAAATTAATAACGAATTACAAGTTGCAAGAATAGCAAAATAAGGATATACTATTCACCCTTTATTTTTGTCGATAAATATGTGTATTTAGCAAGTAGTTTATATTACACATTCTACAGAAATTTAGACTTAATACACGCATTTATCTATAAAAGTGAGGTACGCACTGTTAAAAATAAATCTGGGATATGCAGAAAATCAATTAAAGTTAATTAATATTAATTAATACTTTGTACAAAAATATTATTTTTAATTGCATGTCTTAGAAAGTTCATATATATTTTTAAGTTAAAAATGATATTCTATTTTTAATAGTGCGAATATGAACTTTAGTCAGATTTTATATAAATTCGTTTTTTTCTACACATTTACATATTTATGTTAATCGGGGATATATAAATACTTCATTTTTCAATGTCCAAGTAGTTTTACTTTACTACTTGAAGAATCAAAACGTTAAAGTTATTTCTCAGTCTCTAGTAAGAAAAATCAATCAAATAAAGGAACAATATCACAAAATTACTCGAGGTAAATTAGAGATAAATTATGTCTTTTCAAAATTTATTTTCATAATTTCGCAGATTTGCGTTTACAATGTACGTTGAATAGTACGATAGTCCTTCAATAATAAGACGTGCAACAAATAAAGCTGCTGTGATCGATGATCCCTTGAATACGCGCACACGCAATCCACGACAACAAAGCCGATTAATTATATTTTGCTGAATTAACATACACGGTACGAAGATTGCATCGCTACCGCATCGTGGATAAGACCCACATGTTCCGTTCAATATCTCCGTTTAATTCAGGGAACATGACTCGATTATCATCGTTTTCGTTGCAGATTGATCACGAATTAAAAGCAATCGCGAAGCGATAAGATAATAGAAACATTCGTAATATTTCATTTTTCCAATAAACGGCATTCCTAATCGCGTTTCTTTAAAATGAAACTGCATACATACATCAACTTGGAAAATTTAAAATCAGGGATAAAACTCGTAGTATCGCGATTATTTCAAAGATAGTAATTAAAATAGTTGTTGTAAATAATATAATAATATAAAAATAGAAATATAATGATATGTAAAAATAAACAATTAAAATATCAATTTGAACTTCTCAAATTCCAAACAATAAATTAATATAAGGACTATGTGAGTCGGCGCGGTTAACAGTGCGCAAATTAAAATTATTTTATTACAAAAAATCTTGATCACACATAAATAAATTTCGAAACGTACGTTTCGATTCAATTTGAACCATCATCAGCGTGAACTTCTCATGACAATATTAAGAAACTAAATTATACTGGCCAACAAAATTAACACAACACCTGGTTCATTCTGCAAAAATAGGCAAATTTCAAGATAGGATAACTTCGTCAAAAATTGTCGTATCGAGATGTATAAAAAAGCATTTTACAGCTTGAAACCTTTACTTTTCATATTGCTACTTTAAAAAACAGTCTCATGAAAATTTTATAAAGTTATTATACATAAACATAAATAAAAATATATCAGATCTCAAAATTTTTTACGAAATTTGCAGAGTTTTACTGAGTGGATTAAAAATTGTACACAAATGTGATTTACATCATTCAAAAGAGCGAATCTTTACCTTTAATTTGTTTTTTTACAAAGCTCCGTACGATTTTTTTTCACCGAGTTATTCAACGTTGAAGCAAAATTGACTCTTTTGCTTTGTAAAAAAGCAAATTAAAAGTAAAGATTCGCTCTTTCGAGTGATGTAAATCCCATTTGTGTATAATTTTTAATCCACTCTGTAAAACTACCATGGAACTCCGCAAATTTTGTAACAAATTTTGAGATCTGATATATCTTCATTTATGTGTGTAACTTCATAAAATCTCCATGAGACCGTTTTTTAAAGTAACGATCTGAAAAATAGAGGCTCTTCAAGCTGTAAAATGCTTTTTTATTTATCTCGATATGACGATTTTTGACGAAGTTATTCTATCTTGAAGTTTGCATGCAGCTACTAAACAAAATTAGAATAATTTAAAATCAGTCACTCAAATTAGAGTTACTTAAATTATCCACTCTTCTTGCGATATGACTCTGGCTCAATCCTTCTTCCAGAAGAGCAATAATTTGTGCACACCGAATTTCATTCAACCGAGGCATTGTTACGACTCTATTTTTTTGAACGGTAACTTCAGTTAATTTAAACTAAAGTAAGTTTAAACTGAAGTAAGCACTGTACCGTTCAAACAGTACTTGCGGTACAGTTCTTACTTCAGTTCTTACTTCAATGTGCGAAACCTAACAATGATTGCACGACAAATTGAAAGCGAAATTCTTCCGCATCGACGAATCAGTGTTCAAACGATCAGGAGACGTTTATATAAAAGAGGCTTGAGATCGCGAGCTCGTGCTCGAATGCCAATGTTATCTGTGGCTCATCAACATGCCCGTTTAGAATATGCTCGCATTCATCGAAATTGGATTGCGAGACAGTGGAACAACGTACTATTCACTGATAAATCACGGTTTTATCTCTTTAGTTCTGATGCAAGAATTCGTGTTTGGCGTCGTCATGGGCATCATTAAAAAAAATTGTATTGAGTCTATTCGAGCGTTTGGTGATGGTTCCCTTATAGTATGGGGTGAAATATCAACACATAGACGCACGAACCTCATCACCTTACCACCTCCTGGAACGACAGCTATTCGCTATGTGGAGAAAATTTTGCGTCTTCACGTTATTCCGATGCGTCGTCGAATGAGACGCAATTTCATTCTAATGCAGGACAATGCTCGACCACATACCGCTAGGATAGTCCTTAACTTCCTCGAAGAAAACAACATCGAGGTGCTACCATATCCATCGATGAGCGCGGATTTAAATCCCATCGAACATGTACGGGAAGAAGGGTTCAATTTGGAAAGACCGCCAATGAATCTCTAAGAAGCAGCATTACATCAAATATGATGGGAAATATCTCAAGCCACAATTAGATCTTGCATCAATATGCGTGAGCGTTTGCAAGAAGTCATTCGAAAGCGGAAATACCAGATGTTGAAATGTAAACGTCACCTACGCACTTCTCCCAACACAACACACACACACACACACACACACACACACACACACACACACGGCGTAAGTTCGACCGTGTAACCTCCCCGTGATACACCTCGGGTAATGCTAATACCGGCGGCGAAGTTTTTAGAAATTTTCAGGGAAAAGACTACATAAATGCACTATGTGCAATCACTTCAAATCACTCAGTGAAAAAAATTGTAGCATAATGATAAACAATCATTTTAAAGAGAAAATGTTAAACTTTATTTACAAGATTAAAGAAGTTATGGCTTTAAAATGTTTTTTCGTACGTCGCTTCGCGACTATTCTTCGCGGAGATATATGAAATTTGAATTTGATACTTTTTAACGCTGATTTTAAGTGTCTCAAATTTTGTTCAATAACTTTAAGATAGAATAACTTCATCAAAAATCGTCGTATCAAGATGTTTAAAAAAGCATTTTACAGCTTAAAACTTCTACTTTTCAAATCGCTATTTTAAAAAACGGGTAAGTTATATCTATAATAAATCTAAACTGAATCTTATAATTAAAATTGACTACAATAGATCAAAAAGGAATACAAATATAAAAAATTTTTTTATTAGAATCTAGAAATCCTATATTTATCATACAGCGATTTAGAAAAAGATCCACTTAATAAGGAATTTATATCGCGCAAAAGTTCTTTTCAAAATCGAATAAGCTTAATTGTAATATTAATAATATGTCACCGTCACATCTAGAATAGTGAATTTATATAAACATTCAAACAAAAATTTTTTATCATGTAATATCTTTTATAACAAGCCTGTCCAATTTGAATGGAGACTGCTTGCGTCAAAACGCAAAGTCATCGATGCAGAAAAATTTAATATAATTATAAGATTTCATGGACTGTAAAGTATTGATAAGAGTCGCTCAGACGCGTCTCCGAAATCTTATCCATATTGATTTTTTTACGTCAATGGCTTTGCTTTTTGGCTCCGGAGCTCAAATTGAACAGGCCTGCTTTATAATATTTGTATTGCGCTGCTCAAGACTTGACCATCATCAGTACAATACGTCTACCTCGTTACATTGAAAAATTTAAATATACGACTTTCGCTAAATACATCTTGCGCTGTGATTGTATACTCTTTATTACTTATATTTGTATCAAGAGCCATCTCTAAAAGTTTTTTAAATATATGTACCTATATTTTTTTAAATATATGTACAAATATATAGTTGTAAATATTAAAAACAAATAAGTTTTTTTAATGTTATTTTCATTCTTATTCTTTCAGCGCATACATGATGAATGAAGAAACAAGAGTACAAGTGGCTGAAGGAAAATTGAAGGGCGTCGTCGTAAATGGTTGTAATAATGTTAGATACTTTGCTTTTCGCGGAATACCATATGCCAAACCTCCGATCGGCGAACTCAGATTTAAGGTAATTATAGTACTTTGTTGTTATATCAGCACACAATATAATTAATTTTAATAACAATAAAAAGATAAACTTTTATCAATTTTCCTTAGAATAAAAGAATTAAAAAGAAATGAAAAAAAAAATTTTTAATTTTCTTCAAATGTTCACGAATTAATTAGATATAGTAGAATAAATTCTACAAGATTTAAAAAATATATATCTTTATAAAACTATTTCTTTCAAAAGTAAATATCGCGTTAAATACAATTTATATATTTATATATTTAGGATCCAGTACCAGCGGAACCATGGTATGGTGAGAGAGATGCCTCGAAATACGGAAACATAGCTGTTCAAATAGACCCTGCAACACAGGAAATTGTGGGCGATGAAGATTGCCTCTATTTAAATGTGTACACTACAAAAGTCAGATCCTCGAAAAAACGCACGGTAATGGTATGGATACACGGTGGTGGCTATTTTCTAGGTTCTGGTAATCCAGACTGGTATGGTCCCGATCATTTTATGCAGACAGACGTAGTATTGGTTACCATCAATTTTAGATTAAGCTCTTTAGGTACGTTATTTATTATTTTAATGTATATTTTTTGTATATTATTTGTGTTTTTTCCACATTTCCTCAGAGGATGTAAACTCAGAGGATACATACACTTAGATTTATATTTTTTATTTTATATAACCCATTGATATATAATTATG